TTGAACTTTTGAATAATTTTAAACCGTCGACTCCAACGTCAATTAAAACTTCTTCCTTATTTTCTAAACTAGAGATACTAGATGATTTAAAATAGTTCTCAATTCCTAGGTATATAAAATCTCCATCTGGAATCCTGCCAACATTAATTTTCTCTCCGCTTGTATCTAACAAACTTTTGGCAGACATTAGCAAATTCGGTACCCCAATTTTGCGTAAAGTTCGCAACAAATCGTCTAAAGAATTATGTGTTCGTAATAGCCCACAACCTAATCTCTTCAGTACTTTGTACACTTTCTTGCGGGAGCACAGTAATTGATTAAGATTCAGATGAATCTTCAGTATTCTCATCGAATTGTAGGTCAGATGAGTTTGTTGTACTTTCAGTAGATTCTGTACTAAGAAACGAGGGTCCTGGCTGTTCATTTGGATGTACAACACCACTACTTTCTAGGTTCACATTTTCTGCACTTTTCATTTGCCTTAGAGCTCGCAATTTTCTTACATTGGATTCGTAAATCCGTTTTTCTTTGGTCATTGCATTATTATATGCTCTTTTCTTCATTTTAAATTAAATATTTTATAAAACTAATCTTTAATTTTCACAGCACTTTGAATTTCGAGCGGCTTTTCGTTTCGCGACTTTCTTTTCTCCGTTGATGTGCACATTTGAACTTCTTCAGTACCAAGTACATTTTAATCCGGTTTTATTTTTTACGTTTGCATACATTGAAATTATCATACCGCAATTAATACATTAATTTTTACTTACCTTAATTTTTTGCTATGAATGGGGTCCAATAAATGGTAAAATTATAGTTTAAACTAATTAAGTTCAAAATTATATCCAAGTACTTCAGTACTCGAATATTATTTGGCAGGTACAACTACTTTTGTTTAGCACAAAATGCAGCCCTGTTAAATCTTGTGGTTACTATGGCAACCAACTACCGTTACTTCTATCAGCATTGCCAGTCACTTGATCGATCAAATGACAGTCATTCGCTACAGGGCCAAACTGACATATAAAATTTTGCATATGTGTTAGTTTTCGTTGTGAATGTGTTGGAGTTTCTGTCAATCGCGTCTTGTAGGGTTGTAGGTAGCCAGTGACAGAAATCTCTATCAGTCTTGCCACTCAAATGATTTGTCAAATGATAGTCACTGTTCTTGCAGGGGAAAGTTGTTTCCCTGCAAGAACAGTGACCATCATTTGACAAATCATTTGACTGGCAAGGCTGATAGATATTTCTGTCACTGGCTACCTACAAGTTTCTATCACATTCTAAAGGGCAGTGTGAAAAATCTGATGTAAACATTTGTGTACATATGATCTTCCGTCTTCCTCCAACTTATGGCCTTATATATTGGTCTCTTTTTAACCAACGCAAAATTTGCAAATGTGTTAGTAAGATAAATGAGAATGTGTAAGTTTCCATCACACAATTCTTGTAGGGTTGTTTCCCTGCAAGAACACCCTGCAAGAACAGTGAATATCATTTGACATATCATTTGAGTAGCAACCCTGCAAGAACAGTGACTATCATTTGACAAATCATTTGATGGGCAAGACTGATGGAGATTTCTGTCACTGGCTACCTACAAGTTTCTATCAAATTCTAAAGGGCAGTGTGAAAAATCTGATGGAAACTTTCGTGTACGTGTGATGCTTCATCTCCTTCTAGCATATACGTTTTGGCATATTGCTAGACTGCTCACTCCCATTGAGTTCGGCATTCAGATTTGAATCATCAGTGATGTAAATCTTCGACAATTATGAGTGATCAACCTTGATAGAAATATAAGTCAGCAATGTGCAGTCAAATTTGATGTAATAACCGATCATTCATGACACATCAAGTCTGACAGGTTTGCCTATCATTCCTGATTATTCACAGCTGATGTAAAAATTCGTCAAGTCTGATCTCTCACGCATGATTAGAAAGCTATCATTAATGACACATTTAAGACATATTTTTTTTTCTTTTATTTTCATAAAATCTTAAGACCTAATTATTAATCATTAAAATATTAGATGATAAATAATTAATGTCTTACGAACGAAAAATTCAAAAAATCAGAAATGTTTTTCATAAAACACATACACTGGCGACAGAAATAATAGAAACGACTTATTTCAGTGCATTTCTTTTGCGTATTAATGGCCCCAATATGTATGGCGATTGGTGTCCAGTTGCTGGTTTAGTAGCCATGGCTACCAGTATCCTACTTGGTATTATGTATAGCGACTAATCTCAGTATACAGAAAAGCGCTGACAACATCCGAATTTAGTTTGTTGACATGTACATTTCGAAGTAATTGTCAACTTTGTTCCTGTGTTTTAACAATTTATGTAAACAAATTACAAAACCGTCATAAGGGTGAAACAGAAAATTGCGCCACTAGATTCTATTATAAAAGTCTAGCTAGTTGTATGACAAACGCCATACAAATCCACATTTCAAACTTTGTACATTAAGCATTAAATAAACACAAAGGAAATGTAGCCAAAAATTTGTTAAAGTAAGGCGTTTCTATTAGTTCTGCCACCAGCGTATACATGTACATACATAAAACAGATATTGAACAGAGTGGGATTTTTTGTTAAATACCTTTCCACAAAATCTTATAAACTAATTACTGAACATTAAAAAGTTAGTAGCAAACTGATGCATGTCTTACGAACTAAAAATTCAGAAAACCATAAAAACATACATACAGCTGCGTTCGAAATTATGGTACCAAAATTCAGAAAAAAGGTATTGGTAAGGTAAACATTGAACATTAAATACACATTGAACATTAAATAAACATCGAACATTAAATAAACATTGAATATTAAATAAGCATTAAACATTAAAAAACAAAGGTAATTTAGCGAAAAATTAGTCAAAATAAGGCGTTCATATTATTTCTGACACTAGCGTTCATATGTACGTACTTAAATCTAATATTAAATAATCTTAAAATTATAGATTTCCAGATGATGTGTTTTTTGATTTTTTTGTTAAAAAATTTGTTTGGCGTAAGCGGTGATGGCTCAGCTCAACTGCCTTTTTGATATCCTTTTCCAACTCAACTGCACCTTTCTTGTTATATGCATCTATGTGGTATGAAATAGATTATCAAAAAACATTTTATTGTTAAAAGATATGTTTGTATGCATACGGTAGTTGCCACATAATTAGGGATACTATTTCTTTTAAGTTTAGACCATTTATTTTTTACTTTATTTGTTTTTAACTTTTTTACAAAGATATATTTTATACCAAAACGAAATCCCTGCAACTCAAAGTTTCATTAAAAATCGCAAAATTTCCAAAAATGGTAATCAAAATTTATAACTTTTAAATCACGTTCTCTAGAAACAAATTCGGGTATGCAGATTTACAGCGCATTCAACGTCAGCATAATATTGTGCAAGTTTTAAGCGGCTAAAACCTTGCGTTGTTTTTTGATAATTTTTTACAAAGTGTGTTAGAAATGTTTTTATATAGGTGCATAAATACAAATAACTAAAAAAAAAAATAAATGGTCAGAACGTAATTACCTCGTAGGATTGTGTCAACCAGTATGAGTTTGTTCAGGGGTTTTCTCTCCCATCTTCCGTCCCAGTTGAATTGCAGCAATGTTTCGTCCGTAAATAAGTGTTTAATGACGCTGCCTACGTCCTCAGACACACCTTTTAATTTTATGATATATGTGGCCTTTTGAAAATATATGTACAGCAATTAGAATGTAAAATAAGCATTCCATCATATAATTCTTTACCATGGCTTGTGCATACTCTGGATCTCGTAACTTGGTTTCCATTAAATCCACAGCGCAATCGGACTGCAGTGGCAGAGAACTGGCGATGTCATCTAAATTTTTGTCAGAAATTTCTCCAGTCATTCGACAAACCGACCTCTCAATCTTCTTTGCTACCACCTTGCATTCTCGTAACATCATATTTTGCGCTTCCATTTCACTTTTATTAACGGCCTGAACAAAATATATTTATTTATTTTTTTTAAATACATACACATCGATGGTCCTAAAGCGAATTCAGACTCGAGCCACTTAACAGTAGTAACAGTTTTTATTTTTTGAATTGTGTCGTTATTGTAGAGGACCATCGATATATAAATTTTTATAATACTGATTTAAAATACGACATACGTTTTGCTGAACCTGTTCCAATACCTCGGAGATTTGGATTTGGTTTTGAACAATGGTGGTTTGCTAATGTAAAAGGACAATGAAAATTATACATGTACTCTTTTTTTAACCGACTTCTTGCTTTGCTTAAAAATGTTTTGACTACTGCACATGTTGGAAAGTAAATATCTTACATTATGGTTAATTATATTTATGCCTTCTATCAATTCATTTTGGGTTTTTAGGACCACTTTCAAGGTTTCCATAATTTCTGAAACAAGATTTTATATAAATTTAGTAAAAAATTGTATTCAGTTAAAAATTTTTGTAATAAATTACCCTCATTTGAGATATTTGCACTGGTACTCGTACTCTGTTTATTTTCGGTTGCATTATTGAAATCGTTTTTTGTGAAAAAACGCTTTCTTTTTAGAGGTGGTTGGTTAGCTGAAACCGACAAAAGAAAAGAAGAAGAGTTGTTGAATATTAATGATTAAATAATAGCTATACTTACCCTCATTTGAGATATTTGCACTGGTACTCGTACTCTGTTTATTTTCGGTTGCATTATTGACATCATTTTTTGTGAAAAAGCGCTTTCTTTTTAGAGGTGGTTGGTTAGCTGAAACCGACAAAAGAAGGGAAGAAAGAAGAGTTGTTGAATATTAATGATTAAATACTAGTTATACTTACGATTACATTCCTGAGCGGCTGGGATATGCGACTCATCGGAGCTATTGCTAGCGTTGAAGTTAAGGCTCATTTCGCAAATTGTATTAAAATTTAAATGATTTAAATTATTATTTTGTAAATTATGTAATTTTTTATGGCAAAATTAAATTTGTAGTTTAATTATGAAAATCATGAAACATGTGGTGTAACAGCGGAATGAGCAAATGTTTATTTTCATACGGTATACAAAAATATTTATGATTTAGATCCTCCCTCGAAATCTCAATTTGCACAGTGCTTAGCTGACTTGCAACAACAATTCCCAAACCCGGGAAAGACTGAAGTGGCTCTTCGAAAAAGTTTTCTAATTTTTCAAAGGCATTGCATAGCAGTTTTTCCGAGTTCGCTGTCTTTATAATACCTATCACCTTGAGAGGACCCGATGTTTGACTAAAACCGTAACAATCTCTCTCTTTGTTGTGGTTTAAATTAAAAGATCCTAACTTTGAATCCGTATTTTCAGAAATATATTCCTGCCTTTCTTTAAGTCTCAACGATATTTGTTGCAAGATCTTATTTGGTTTATTAATCATCTTTTTTAAATATTGCATAAAATTTTCAAATTTATATGCTGAAAATGAGTCCAAAGGACCAAATTGCTTCACACAATCCGATAGGTGGAGTAATCCATGAACATTAAAGCTTATAAACTCATCACCATATATTTCACCAAAGTAAGTAACGAAGAGTTCCAATATTTTTTGGGCAACGTCAGCTTCTGCCTCGAATGTCCTTTCACAAGAAAGAAGTCTAATGGCACTATGTAGCAGCAAAAAATTGTAGTATAAATCGGGGTTGATGGTATCTTTCAGGACAAAAACTCCAGTATAAAGCAAAAATTGCCTAAATTCCGTTGACTTCCAATTGTTCATCTCATCTAAGCTTCTAGCTATGCGACTAAACTCTGAGGGAACAAAACTTGCTATAAAGTTCAACTTCTCATTAATGGAGGTTACATTCCCTCTTTTAAGAATAAATTTTAATAACTTTTTTGTAACTCCTAGGTCTACTAAGTGCATGCAATCAATCGGAAATTGGGATACCATTCTAAAATCAGTTAATTCCAAAATACTTTTTTTCTCTTTAAATTCTGTTACATGATGAGAAGGATTTGATCTGGATTCAAAGGATGAATCGGTCCTAAGATTGCCAACCTGCTTTGAAAAACAAACCCTATTTTTTTTATATGCACCTTCCTGACAGCATTTGGGACATCCATTCTTTCCGTTGTGTCCAATAACGCCAGTTACAAATGCCCTAGCTGGAGAGTCACACGTAAACAAGCGTACGTTAAATTTTAAGCGGTTTGGATTAAGGCCTACTTGAACTCCATTAATTCTTAATAACTTAACTTCATTGCAGAAGTCAGCCATGAAGCTATCAATATTTCCCGGCTTTTTGAAACCAGAAAAGCAAGCAATCATAAACGGTCTGACATGAGGGGCACCTACAATAGCTCCAAGGATAGGCCAAAGAACGCGGTTAGAACTTTTGAATAATTTTAAACCGTCGACTCCAACGTCAATTAAAACTTCTTCTTTATTTTGTAAACTAGAGATACTAGATGATTTAAAATAGTTCTCAATTCCTAGGTATATAAAATCTCCATCTGGAATCCTGCCAACATTAATTTTCTCTCTGCTTGTATTTAACAGACTTTTGGCAGACATTGGCAAATTCGGTACCCCAATTTTGCGTAAAGTTCGCAACAAATCGTCTAAAGAATTATGCGAGATATTGTTTCTAATAGCCCACAACCTAATCTCTTCACTACTTTCTACACTTTCTTGCGGGAGCACAGTAATGGATTCAGATTCAGATGAATCTTCAGTATTCTCATCGAATTGTAGTTCAGATGAATTTGTTGTACTTTCAGTACATTCTGTACTAAGAAAAGAGGGGCCTGGCTGTTCATTTGGATGCACAACACCACTACTTTCTACATTCACATTTTCTGCACTTTTCATTTGCCTTAGAGCTCGCAATTTTTTTACATTGGATTCGTAAATCCGTTTTTCTTTGGTCATTGCATTACTAAATGCTCTTTTCTTCATTTTATATTAAATATTTTATTAAACTTATCTTTAATTTTCACAGCACTTTGAATTTCGAGCGGCTTTTCGTTTCGCGACTTTCTTTTCTCCGTTGATGTGCACATTTGAACTTCTTCAGTACCAAGTACATT